GATTCACGCATACACCAGCGACGGGTTCTGAGGTGTTCGGCTTGTAAGTTTAAATTACCACTCCACGTGCATAAACAGGCGCATACGTGTAAATTACTTTAATCCACTGGCTTTTGTTGGAATCAGACAATGCATCGTGTTTTCTGCGCGCATTATTAGTGTTGATGTTGCTTGCAAACGTTTAACTCGGCTTATGGTTTATTTAAACTTGTATTGTCGCCTGGACCTTTGACGTGTATCGATCGTGCACGCTTGTGCGCCTGTGGGGGGCACAAACGTAGCTAATAGAGAGCAACAGATGCCCGAGCAGAACAGTACGCCATCCACTGAATGAAGGCGGAGGAGATGAGGAGAACCGGATTTATACAATGTTTACACTGTATCGCGAGCTGGGCTCGCTATTAGTGACTATAGCGGTAAATACACTTATGTATTCTTGCTAGTAATGATAGAACCATCGGCTTATATGCTTACTTGCGTAACGCGAACATCTGGATACTTCTATCAAGAATGGTTGAATTAGCAGTTCAATTACAATTTCGAGAATGCATTGAGATTTTTGAAACTAACTGTTGCTGGTTGTGGATAGGAAAGAATTTAGAAGGTGTTAACCCGCGGGGGTTGTAGCAATATCGGGAGCACTGTTTACGTCACGCTGCGTGAAGTAGATCTACTATCTAATGATGCGATCAGTATAGACCGGCGGATAATCTCTCTGTGTCTGTGTATGTTGTCTGTTGTGAGAGCGCGGTGTGATAACACTTCATATAACGCAAACACGATATACAGAAGAGGTAGAAATTAATAGTAAACATAATTTTTAAAGGCGTTATTTCAGTAATCATGAAATATACCTTTACAAACATTTTCCATGTGAAAACATTGCGAAACATCTATATATATATACAGCAATAATTGCAAAAATTAAAGTCTTGACAATCAGAGTCTGTGCAGAGTTTGCTCAAACTCTGACTTTTGCCGCTTGCACATCTCTTGTGCATTGCTAAGCGCGGGTGGGGTCGTTCAACGCTCCCGTTCTCGTGCGGAGTCACCTGCTACTGATGATGTCTGTCAGGTAGGCGCTGGCGTGGGCTGGTTACCTCGGAATAACGCTGGTGTGCAGTTATGGCCCGTTACATATAGTTTCGTAGCGCAGCACACGCTATTCGACCTCGGCGTAGCGCAGAGACAATATACACGAGTCATCATCTCATCAGTGAGGACCAGCTGTGATCTAGCGTGACGCTAGATGCGCGCGGGTCGCGTGCTTGGCGCTGAAGCTGCAGCTCTCCCGGGGTAGGGGGTTGGAGGGTGAGGCATAAGCCTCGTAGACGAGCTAACCGATGAAGCTTAGTCCTTCAGCTTGCAAACTTGCTCTTCGGGATGCTGTAGAAGCAGGTGAGGAGGTGGTTAGCGACCACGGGCACGACAGCAACGACCAGCACAGGCACGATGGTGTGTTTAACGAACGCTGCCACGTAGAACAGTTCGATCGGGTCTTGTGACAGCGGTATTGACTCGGCGCACTTGTATAGGAAGACAGCCAACACGGCCGACACCATCCTAATGTCCAACGCGTGTCGGTGGTTGCGCTTGTGCTGCTGGCTCTCATGGTATGTGTTGGTGTGCTCGCGGGCGTACAGGCCCAGCCCGAGGCCAAGCAGAGCACCGCACAGTCTGGCCAGGGAGTGCAGAGGTGCCGTGTTAAGATGCACCCAGGCTCGGTTATCACAGAATGTAAGCGCCTTGACTACGGACCAGTCCGGGTTGATGCCGACCAATCTCAGTAAGACGTACAGTCCGTAGGCTCCAGCCAGCAGCAGGGCAGACGTAATGATGTAGGTGCGCACTCGCACCGCTGACAGCGCAACGGTTGACATGGCAGCCAGCAGCAGCATCCCTGCAGCAAACACGCGATAGGTGGCGGTCAAAGATAGGCCAGCGTAACGCAAGTAATCGTATCGCATGCGCGTCGACAACGAAGAAGTCAGAGCAGCAAAAACAAACAGTTACAGTGAAATATATATTTATATACTCCTACAACTTTTCCCAGTTACTAGTACACTACTACGAATGCAGTATCGTGAATCTGACACTCACCACAGATGACGCCAGCGAGGACCTGGTGTGGGAAGTGAGCAGCTAGAGAGAGTCGTGACAGGCAGACGAGCAGATAGCAGATGGAGAAGGTTGACCAAACTGCCGTGTAGACCAGCGTAGGGCATCTCTTCTGGTCAGACCAAATATGTTTCTCCAGTTTCTTAAGCAATGCTGTTGCCAGCACGCACCAGACAGCACCAGTAATCATAGCGTGGCCAGACGGGTTACCTATTAACAACCACATATACAACGCGATTAGAATAAGTCAATTATAATATAATTACTAATAAAATAATGCAAAAATTATAGCAAATGGCAAAATTTCATAATAACAACTAAGCGCATAGCAGATATGCAGCTCAGCATTTAGATAAGCATAGTAGAAGCCTCGGTGTACGTACCAGGTCCGGTCTCACACGTCATCGGATACTGCTGGGTGAAGGGTACAGAGACGTTGGGATGAGCCTGGGCCATTTCAACAGCATACCAGTACGGTCTGTCCCCGAATAACAGCCTACAAAACAGAAAGTATGCATGATGAGATTTTGAAACGGAGATTTCTTATATATAGAAGCAGGTTCCTCGATATCCAGTAAAGTCATAATTATAAACCATCTATGTTTAATTATTATAACCGTACTTGCATTGCGTGATATATAATGCAATGAAGGCTATAGTACATAGATGTAGAGCTAGGTCGATAAGCTAAACAGATATCTGGAACTTTACTGGAAAGAAGCCAGCCGTACGATCACTCACCATTTAAGGCACAAGTTGAGCCACTCTCCGAGTACCCCGATCCACATCAGTCTGATGCCCCACTTGTTGCTGAGGCAGAAGAGCAGACTCCTTTCGGCAACGCTTCTCTAGTATCCCGTCTCATCTGGTTCGCCCGTGCGTCGTAGCAGTCCATCACGGGCTGTCCGCTATCTGACCGCAGTCTCTACTCACAACAGCTACTCCAGCAACGTAATAAAATGAATGATATACCCACCGCATACATTGACACCGCAACGTAGCGTGGCATAGAAAGCTTGTCATGCGTAGCAAAACTTTACCTTCTAGTCACCCGCTGCGACCTGCTCAGCTGTTGCTGACGCTAACAATATGTGAAAGTTCATAAACCAGCACAATTGGACGCAAAACGCGTTATAAAATTTTGTTATAGTGTTGAAAAACTGAGGCGCATAAGTGAAACAATTAAAGCACATAAATTACAAGTATTATGCAATGATGTAACGAAAAAATACAAACAAAAACTAACAATAAAGAAATGATTTTAATTTCATAATATTGTCAAAATTACAAGACATTTTTTTGAATGAGTGCACATATTTCAAAGAGATATGCGCGTAGATTTTGCATCAACCTTCTAATTAAACGCATAATAATATTTTGATGAATATACGTATCTAACAATTTTTTTTATATTTGGATGTTGGTAGTTGAAACATGTTGTGGATGTCAACAGATGATGGAGGGATTTATTGCGTTTTCCTGCATCATGCTTACAGCTGGTATGAAATTCAGCCGGTTTATGGGAGTTACTGAATGAAAGAAATTCAGCTATATAAATGTGATTCACGCATACAAGCACGGGTATCTGAGTGTTCGCTTGTAATTATAGCAATCTGCCACGTGCAAAACACGCGGCCACGTGTAAGTTACGCAACCACGTGCTTGACTAGACAATACACGTGATTCGAAATTTATTCTGAGCACGTTTAACCCGTTAATTAAAAACTTCATGGCAGATTGACGTGTATCTATCTGTATGTGCCCGCGGGGGAACAAGCAGCAATAGAGAGCACAGATGCCGAGCAGAAAGTAGCATCCACTCATAAACCGAGGAAGATGAGGAGAACCCGATATAAGATATCTACACAGTATCAGTGACGGTATCAGTGACTATGTAGTGTATTATATACTTTCTAATCTTGAGTAAACGAGACCTACGTTCGCATAATAGAGAGAGTTTATATTGTTGAGATACTTGAATTACATTTCAAGGAAAATTTCGAGGATGCATTTAGATTTTTAAAAATAACTTCGACTGATTGAGAAAGAATTTAGAGTGTGCCATCGTGGTGTGCACATATATTGGCAGCGCTGTTACGACACCCGGCTTAATAAGTCAATCTACTATCAAGGATGCCTCAGTATAAACCTCGGAAATTTCTGTGTCTGTGTATGTGTCTGTGTGTGCGCGCGTGATAACAGTTCATAATGAAGCAAACATACTACGAAAGCGGTATAAATTAATAGTAAACATAATTTCAAATGTTTATTCAGTAATCATGAAATAACATTTACAAACATTTTCCATGTGAAAAACATTGTTAAACATCTATATACAACAATGATATCATTGCAATACTTTAAGAAACAGTCTTGACAATCGAGAGTCTGAAAATCAAACGTCTGTGCAGTTGTTCAAACTCTGACTTTTGCCGCTTGCACATCTCTTGTGCATTGCTAAGCGCGGGTGCGTTCAACGCTCCCTTCTCGTGCTGAGTCACCTGCTACTGATGATGTCATTCAGGTAGGGTCTGGCGTGGCTGGTCACCTCGGTATAACGCTGGTGCAGTCATGGCCAGTAACATATAGTTCGTAGCGCAGCACACGCTATTCGGCCGGCGTAGCGCAGAGACAATATACACGAGTCCATCATCTCATCAGCTGAGGACCAGCTGTGATCTAGCGTGACGCTAGATGGCGCGCGGGTCGCTGCTTGGCGCTGAAGCTGCAGCTCTCCCGGGGTAGGAGGATGAGGCATAAGCCTCGTAGACGAGCTAACCGATGAAGCTAAGTTCTTCAGCTTGCAAACTTGCTCTTCGGGATGCTGTAGAAGCAGGTGAGGAGGTGGTTAGCGACCACGGGCACGACAGCAACGACCAGCACAGGCACGATGGTGTGTTTAACGAACGCTGCCACGTAGAACAGTTCGATCGGGTCTTGTGACAGCGGTATTGACTCGGCGTACTTGTATAGGAAGACACACCGGCCGACACCATCCTAATTGTCCAACGCGTGTCGGTGGTTGCGCTTGTGCTGCTGGCTCTCATGGTATGTGTTGGTGTGCTCGCGGGCGTACAGGCCCAGCCCGCAGGCCAAGCAGGAGCACCGCAACAGTCTGGCCAGGGAGTGCAGAGGGTGCCGTGTTAAGATGCACCAGGCTCGTTATCACAGAATGTAAGCGCCTTGACTACCGGAACCAGTCCGGTTGATCCGACCAATCTCAGTAAGACGTACAGTCCGTAGGCTCCAGCCAGCAGCAGGGCAGACGTAATGATGTAAGGGTGCGCACTCGCACCGCTGACAGCGCAACGGTTGACATGGCAGCCAGCAGCAGCATCCCTGCAGCAAACACGCGATAGGTGGCGGTCAAAGATAGGCCAGCGTAACGCAAGGAATCGTATCGCATGCGCGTCGACAATGAAGAAGTCGCAGCAAAAACAAACAGTTATACAGTGAAATCTATATATATACTCCTACAACTTTTCCCAGTTACTAGTACACTACTACGAATGCAGTATCGTGAATCTGACACTCACCACAGATGGCGCCAGCGATGACCTGGTGTGGGAAGTGAGGCAGCTAGAGAGAGTCGTGACAGACAGACGAGCAGATAGCAGATGGAGAAGGTTGACCAAACTGCCGTGTAGACCAGCGTAGGGCATCTCTTTCTGGTCAGACCAAATATGTTTCTCCAGTTTCTTAAGCAATGCTGTTGCCAGCACGCACCAGACAGCACCAGTAATCATAGCGTGGCCAGACGGGTTCCTATTAACACCACATATACAACGCGATTAGAATAAGTCAATTATAATATAATTACTAATAAAATAATGCAAAAATTATAGCAAATGGCAAAATTTCATAATAACAACTAACGCGCATAGCAGATATGGCAGCTCAGCATTTAGATAAGCATAGTAGAAGCCTCGGTGTACGTACCAGGTCCGGTCTCACACGTCATCGATACTGCTGGTGAAGGGTACAGAGACGTTGGGATGAGCCTGGGCCATTTCAACAGCATACCAGTACGGTCTGTCCCCCGAATAACAGCCTACAAAACAGAAAGTATGCATGATGAGATTTTGAAACGGAGATTGATTATATATAGAAGCAGGTTCCTCGATATCCAGTAAAGTCATAATTATAAACCATCTATGTTTAATTATTATAACCGTACTTGCATTGCGTGATATATAATGCAATGAAGGCTATAGTACATAGATGTAGAGCTAGGTCGATAAGCTAAACAGATATCTGGAACTTTACTGGAAAGAAGCCAGCCGTCACGATCACTCACCATTTAAGGCACAAGTTGAGCCACTCTCCGAGTACCCCGCGATCCACATCAGTCTGATGCCCCACTTGTTGCTGAGGGAAGAGCAGGGGAAGTAGAACGAAACAGCTTGGCGGATCACCGTATCTCGACCAGGCGACACAGCGACTTGCCTTTCCTCTCTACCTGCCATCAGGTACTGCAGTCCACCGATGAACTCCAGTCCTTTCCAATCAAGCATCTCCATCGGCGTGAAGTTTTCCGTTCGAATTGCGTCCATAGCTTCTCTATTCGATCGATAAAGTATTTTCTCGCAAATCTTGTAGTTCTCGATGTGTTGTGTTGCGGTACTTGGTAGCGCGCTGCCTTATATACACGCGGCGCTGCATCCAGGCACTCGTAAACAATGGCACGGCGGACTAATGTAAACTCGCGCTACCGCCCGGTGACCGCGGAGTGTTGTTCATTTCGTTTCCTGACACACGGTGGCGTTGTTTGCTCGACACGTGAACCTGTGAGTTCATCTGTAGGTTTAAAGGAATCTTCAGATCGTGCTGACTGCGTGTCATTGGTGTAGTAAAAACTGCGTTGCATTAGAGAGTATACTAAGCACACCCCAGAAGGAAATAATGCCACACGGAGGTCGCAGATTGTGGTGTCTATCATCGGATCCGGCAATGAAGGAGGGGTAATTTTGTCCTATACAATTCACCAAAGAAAAAAATGGACGGATTTTTCGTTCTTTGTATATACTCTACTGATATATATATATATATGTATATATATATTATATATATAAGTATATATATATATATATATATATATATAATATATATATAGTATAGTATAGCACATTGTTCGACATGTCCTTACAAGTCTGTGCGGCTATATAGGCTTGTCTAGCGTTGACGTATATTAAAATGCAAGAAATGTGCTTTTATTTATAATGAAGAAACTTTTTATGGGAGATGCCTACTCCTCCGCAATCCGCCCGCTCACACTTTGTCAGTCAATTATAATCGATCTGTGCTCTACTCTTAACCCCAAGAAATGGATCTAGTGACTAAGCTCGGCCTCGGCGTATCCGTTGGCATTGCATTGCAGACTTGGCATCGCGCCAGGGCAGCGCGCGCGAGCGCACACGGGTAACACGGGTAGCGTGCACACAAACACCTCATCACCTCATCACGAACTAGACACGTGGTTTAGACAGGAAGCAGCCTAGCGGTGTATGCCTGGATCCGCCCAGCAGCTGCTGTTTATGCGCTCTGAAAGCTAGACTACGGTGTCAGGAGAAGGTCAACTCTGGCAGCTGTATTACTCCCTCGCAGCTGGCAGTTTCCTTTGACAACAAAAATATTTGTATGCTCGAGCGTTATCATCTCTCGCAACCTTCAGAAACTCAGATTGATGGTGACTCGATTTGATGGCAAATAATAACAATATAATAAATAATAATATAACATTGTATAAGGATAGTAATAATATAAGGAAATAATATAACGTAGTATAAATATAACATATATAACAATATAACAATTAATAATAACAATAATGACATTATTAACCCCTGACAATATGTATATGATACGAACTATAACAATAGTTGGTAACAACTTGCAGTGTCAACAACAGTGTTGATTGCAACGTTACTGTAACAATGCAGTCGACTATTCTATCATATTTTGGCATGAGATTTTCTTGCTAACCTACTAAACCATTACCCACGCATAAACCGCCCTGCGCCATATGTGGAATAGCTTGGTATGATGTTTCTACTTGGTTATTCGCAGTGATGAATATATTACGTTCACATTACAGTTCACAAACGGAACACATTATATTGCACCCTGAATGTCCGAATTTCTCAGTTTTTTTCACGTAAACAACTACTGGGCCGGGCGGAACCGCGGTGACTAGGAGGTGAAGTTTTGCTACGCATGACAAGCTTTCTATGCCACGCTTCGTTACTGTGTTAACGTATGCGGTGGGTACTTCCTTCACTTTATTACGTTGCTGTTGTGAGTAGAGACCGGTCATGCAGAGGACAGACCGTATTTGACGGCAGATATCTAGGGTTCAAGTGTACCGCATGCGCGCGCGCAAGACTTTGTTATTGCACGTGGGAGAGTCGTGATTTGCGCATGCCATCACGGTACGTGTAGCTCCCATGTGATCTGCGCATGCGTGCGACATACGATATTGTTACAGATGTAGCGTTAAAAAGGATGACACGACACACGTAGATTCCGCGTGCGTAGTTTTTTTGCTGGTTCCTCTTAAGATAATAGATTGGTCACGGTAAGGTCGGGGAGGTCTCTCCTGACCTTCACGTTCAGAGCAAGGTAGATGTGCACGTAGACACTAATATATAGAGTGTTATAGTTTTATAACTCTATATATTAGTGCAAGCGTGCAACAGTCGCGCCGCGAGAGCAATGGCAGCCGGTAATGCAATGGTAGGAAACTATCGGCGATAATAGGTGAAAGAGAGTAGGCCTATAGTATAGAAACATTAAGAATTTTGTACTAAGTAAATAGATTTCGTATTTAGTTAGCATTATATTTTATTGAAACGCTTCAAGTGCCTGTGTGGGTTAGGATCACGTGTGATTCACGCGCACCAGGTTTGATTTAGAATCAGATTAGCCATCACCAAGTCTAGTCATCAATGACGGTTCAGCAGTAACCTAATCGCCACAGAAAGTAAGAGTGTATAGTGTTTGCACAGCAAGCGCGCAGACGCTCACATTAGCGGAGGCACCAAAGTTTCCGCTGCGCATGATTCATCTTAACGAAATCTAGAACTTGTAAAAAATGCCGAGACGCACGCTGCAATCTGCATTCCTGTAGCGTTTTACTCCACCAGTGACACGCAGTCAGCACGATCTGGGAGCTCCTAACCTATAGATGAACTCTCAGCGACACGTGTACTGAAAGCAGCGCCACCGCGTGGCAGTGAACGTGATTATCATGAAGTCACCGAGCGGTGAGCGCGTGTTCCGTGCACATACCACGCGTGCTATTGTTTACGTGTGCGCATGCTTGGATGCAGCGCCGCGTGTATATAAGGCAGCGCGCTACCAAGTACCGCAACACAACACATCGAGAACTACGATATTTGTCAGAAAAGATTTTATCGATCGAATAGAGAAGCTATGGACGCAGTTCGAACGGAAAGCTTCACGCCGATGGAGATGCTTGATTGGAAGGGACTGGAGTTCATCGGTGGACTGCAGAACCTGATGGCAGGTAGAGAGGAACAGCTGTTCGCCTGGTCGAGATACGGTGATCCGGCCAAGCTGTTTGTCGTCTACTTCCCGCTGCTCTTCTGCCTCAGCAACAAGTGGGGCATCAGACTGATGTGGATCGGGGTACTCGGAGAGTGGCTCAACTTGTGCCTTAAATGGTGAGTGATCGTACGTCTGGCTTCTTTCCAGTAATGTTCCAGATATCTGTTTAGCTTATCGACCTAGCTCTACATCTATGTACTATAGCTTCAACTGCATTATATATCGCTCAATGCAACTACGGTTATAGTACTGAACATAGATGGTTTCTAATAGCTTTACTGGATATCGAGGAACCTGCAATCTCCGTTTCAAAATCTCATCATGCATACTTTCTGTTTTGTAGGCTGTTATTCGGGGACAGGCCGTACTGGTATGCTGTTGAAATGGCCCAGGCTCATCCCAACGTCTCTGTACCCTTCACCCAGCAGTACCCGATGACGTGTGAGACCGGACCTGGTACGTACACCGAAGCTTCTACTAATAAATGCTGAGCTGCATATATGCTATGCGTTTGACATTACGAGATATTGCGATTTGTTGTATTTTTTGAATTATTTCATGAGCAATTTATTGTTTTATACATAATTATTATATTATAATCGCGTTGTATAATGTGGTTGTTGATAGGTAACCCGTCTGGCCACGCTATGATTACTGGTGCTGTCTGGTGCGTGCTGGCAACAGCATTGCTTAAGAAACTGGAGAAGCACGTTTGGTCCGACCAGAAGAGATGCCCTACGCTGGTCTACACGGCAGTTTGGTCAACCTTCTCCATCTGCTATCTGCTCGTCTGCCTGTCACGACTCTCTCTAGCTGCTCACTTCCCACACCAGGTCATCGCTGGCGTCATCTGTGGTGAGTGTCAGATTCACGATACTGCATTCGTAGTAGTGTACTAGTAACTGAAAAAAAGTTGTAGGAGTATATATATAGAGATTTCACTGTAACTGTTTGTTTTTGCTGCTCTGACTTCTTCGTTGTCGAAAAGCAGCGCCACCGCGTGGCAGTGAACGTGATTATCATGAAGTCACCGAGCGGTGAGCGCGTGTTCCGTGCACATACCACGCGTGCTATTGTTTACGTGTGCGCATGCCTGGATGCAGCGCCGCGTGTATATAAGGCAGCGCGCTACCAAGTACCGCAACACAACACATCGAGAACTACGATATTTGTCAGAAAAGATTTTATCGATCGAATAGAAAAGCTATGGACGCAGTTCGAACGGAAAGCTTCACGCCGATGGAGATGCTTGATTGGAAGGGACTGGAGTTCATCGGTGGACTGCAGAACCTGATGGCAGGTAGAGAGGAACAGCTGTTCGCCTGGTCGAGATACGGTGATCCGGCCAAGCTGTTTGTCGTCTACTTCCCGCTGCTCTTCTGCCTCAGCAACAAGTGGGGCATCAGACTGATGTGGATCGGGGTACTCGGAGAGTGGCTGAACTTGTGCCTTAAATGGTGAGTGATCGTACGTCTGGCTTCTTTCCAGAAATGTTCCAGATATCTGTTTAGCTTATCGACCTAGCTATACATCTATGTACTATAGCTTCAACTGCATTATATCTTATATCTGCATCGCTCAATGCAACTACTGTTATAGTACTGAACATAGATGGTTTCTAACAGCTTTACTGGATATCTCCTTTTATATAAGCAATCTCCGTTTCAAACTCTCATCATGCATACTTTCTGTTTTGTAGGCTGTTATTCGGGGACAGGCCGTACTGGTATGCTGTTGAAATGGCCCAGGCTCATCCCAACGTCTCTGTACCCTTCACCCAGCAGTACCCGATGACGTGTGAGACCGGACCTGGTACGTACACCGAGGCTTCTACTAATAAATGCTGAGCTGCATATCTGCTATGCGTTTGATATTACGAGATATTGCGATTTGTTGTATTCTTTGCATTATTTCATGAGCAATTATATTGTTTTATACATGATTATTATATTCTAATCGCGTTGTATAATGTGGTTGTTAATAGGTAACCCGTCTGGCCACGCTATGATTACTGGTGCTGTCTGGTGCGTGCTGGCAACAGCATTGCTTAAGAAACTGGAGAAACATATTTGGTCCGACCAGAAGAGATGCCCTACGCTGGTCTACACGGCAGTTTGGTCAACCTTCTCCATCTGCTATCTGCTCGTCTGTCTGTCACGACTCTCTCTAGCTGCTCACTTCCCACACCAGGTCATCGCTGGCGTCATCTGTGGTGAGTGTCAGATTCACGATACTGCATTCGTAGTAGTGTACTAGTAACTGAAAAAAAGTTGTAGGAGTATATATATAGAGATTTCACTGTAACTGTTTGTTTTTGCTGCTCTGACTTCTTCGTTGTCGACGCGCGTGCGATACGATTCCTTGCGTTACGCTGGCCTATCATTGACCGCCACCTATCGCGTGTTTGCTGCAGGGATGCTGCTGCTGGCTGCCATGTCAACCGTTGCGCTGTCAGCGGTGCGAGTGCGCACCTACATCATTACGTCTGCCCTGCTGCTGGCTGGAGCCTACGGACTGTACGTCTCACTGAGATTGGTCGGCATCAACCCGGACTGGTCCGTAGTCAAGGCGCTTACATTCTGTGATAACCGAGCCTGGGTGCATCTTAACACGGCACCTCTGCACTCCCTGGCCAGACTGTGCGGTGCTCTGCTTGGCCTCGGGCTGGGCCTGTACGCCCGCGAGCACACCAACGCATACCATGAGAGCCAGCAGCACAAGCGCAACCACCAACACGCGTTGGACATTAGGATGGTGTCGGCCGTGTTGGCTGTCTTCCTATACAAGTGCGCCGAGTCAATACCGCTGTCACAAGACCCGATCGAACTGTTCTACGTGGCAGCGTTCGTAAAACACACCATCGTGCCTGTGCTGGTCGTTGCTGTCGTGCCCGTGGTCGCTAACCACCTCCTCACCTGCTTCTACAGCATCCCGAAGAGCAAGTTTGCAAGCTGAAGGACTTAGCTTCATCGGTTAGCTCGTCTACGAGGCTTATGCCTCATCCTCC